TTTTCCTAACCTCTGACGTGGATTCCGAGGCCTTAACTTATTCCGAGGCCAATGTTGTTAGCCGAAGCCATGGTTCCGTGGCCATGCACTATCCGAGGCCCTTTTGCAGCTAGGGAAGGCCCCACGTGGAAAGATATAGCAATGATGAAGATCTTCATGTGAATAATTGACGTGACTTTTGTGAAAAGTAGCTTTGTGTTTTATCTTGTCAATATAAGAGTATTTAATGTTTTGTAAAGATAGGAAAGTCAACTTTATGGCTAGGATTTGATGTCCTGGCCGAGGAGATGAGGCCACGTGTAAATTGATCCAAAAGTCATTATTTCATTTGTAACACTATAAATACCCCCATCATGTAACATAAGAAGGTTGAAAATCTAAACACTTGGAGCAATATATCTCGCTCTCTCTCGTTTATAAAGTGTACTTCTACAACATATTTTCTACCACAAATTGTGCTTTTATCGATTGGTTTCTTATACAATTGTGTTACATAAATCTGGCCGAAAGTCCGGACGGAAATGTCTCGTGTCATTGAACTACTCCCGCGTTCAGTGTCTAGAGTCATCTTGACCGTTGGTCGGCAGTAGCGTGTTGGATCAAGGTTCGTTATCAGTAACGGTTTCGTCGCTTTCTCAGAGGAAGCGAAGGAGATCCATCAGAGGCGGGAGGAGAGGGTTTTTATCGGTGACGCTGTCGTCGATTAAGAATGGTGGTGACGGGAGCAATGAAGAGCCCGGTGAGGAGTATTCGACGACGAGGAGCGTCTTGGAGAAAATTGGTGAAAAGAGTGGAGAGTCTAAGAATGAGAGTGGGAGTGAAACTGTGGCGTTTGTGGAGGTTGTTAAAGAAGAGAAGGGAAGGCTGCACGGAGGTACTCTGAACACTGCTAAGCATCTTTGGTCTGGTGCTGTAGCTGCTATGGTCTCAAGGTTTATTTATGTCTCTCTCTTTTTCTTCGTTGTGTTAATATATATATATATGATTTTTAAGAATGTTTATTTTCCTTGCGGTAATATTATTTAGTGAATATTCTGTCCATTTGCCATGGTAAACAAATAAAATTTACAAGCTTTCTCAGAATTTCACTTACTCCTTTTGCAATATTCAGTATGCTCCTAGCAAGTTCTTCAATGGTGGATTTGTACGCTGTTATTATTGTAATGAATTCACTTAAGCATATTTGATTTCATGTCACAGCTAACATGTATTCAAGTCCAACCCAGCATACAGTAACTATGAATCAATAGTCCATTCTAACATGGTGCAATCTTAAGAGTCGTTATGCGGATGGAAAAGAATATGACAATGTCAAACTTTTTCATATGCAAAAATGAGTGCTACTCTGCTATTTTGGTTAAAAATCTTGAAATGTTGTTAATTGATTGAGAGGATGATTGTGATCTGGTGAATTTGTCATCCTCTGCATTCTATTGTTTTGTTTAATGCCGGTAGATTCTTTTGCAATTAATATAGCAGAGCAGTCCAAGCCCAAGCTTAGCTGAAATCTTAGCCGATCTATGACATGCACAGACTCAAGAAGCAACAATTTATACCACACCGGAAGGACAGATAAATGGATAAGGAAATTATATTGAATGACTGGAATTAATTGAAAACACCCAAGCATTCGAGAGGGGACCTTTGAGAGGTTTAACTCGGAGCTCAACACTGAACAATACTATTTTCATCCCTGCCAACACAGACTCCCTATTCTTTATATTCTCATCCCTCCTACTACGCCATAACAGAAAACCCGTATTCCCCTCCCCCTCCCCAACCCCAACCCCAAACAGAATACCAAACTAACAGAAATTTCATAATAGACCCCTCACTTATCTCTAGTCATTCATTCCCAGAATTCCCAGAAGTGTCCCTGGGCCTTGAATAAGTGAAACGCACCGGTAGCCTAACATTACCCCTTGCCCAAACCTTCACCTTGTCCTCAAGGTGAAAGTCAGGAAACTGATGCTGCATCAAATGAAAATCTTCCCACGTAGCCTCGTACTCAGGTAAAGACTTCCACTTTAATAGTACTTCCACTTCGCCAGATTGACCTTGGGTTTTAGAGCGTACTCTCAACAACACTTCCGGTTCCACCACCAGTTCTAACTCAGGAGTCAACAGATGAGGTAAAATTGGAGAAAAAGTCGAAACTCCACGAGCAGGTCTGAGTTGAGAAACATGAAAAACAGGGTGAATAGATGCAGTCTGAGGGAGTTCCAGTTTATAAGCCACTTTATCGATGCGCTTAATAACTTTGAATGGGCCATAGTAGCGTGCAGCCAATTTCTCGAATTTACGCTGGGCAAGGGATCATTGTCGATAAGGCCTCAGTTTCAGAAAAACTAAATTGCCTTCACTGAACTCTTTATGGTGTCGCTTGAGATCATCCTGTAGTTTCATTCATTGCTGCACTCAAAGCAGATGCATCCGTAAATCATCCAGTATAGCATCTCGATCCTCCAATAACTAATCAACCAAGGATACTGAGGTAGCTCCCTTGTCATATCTGATAAGTGGAGGAGGGTCCCGATCGTAGAGAGCACGAAAAGGGGTACACTGAGTAGATGAATGAAAAGAAGTGTTGTACCAGTACTCAGCCCATGCTAGCCACCGAGCCCAACTCCGAGGTTTTCCAGACGCAAAACAATGCAGATAAGTTTCTGAACACCGGTTGACCACCTCCGTTTGCCCATCGGATTGAGGGTGATAGGCAGCGCTCCTTTTTAATGTTGTTCCCGGCAGCCGAAAAAGCTCACTCCAAAAGTGGCTCAAGAACACCCTATCCCGGTCAGAAATGATGGATTGCGGGATCCCATGACCACCTCACGAATAAAAATGCCCGCAACTGTGACCGTTGTAAATGGGTGTTTCAACCCAATAAAATGGGCATACTTACTGAGTCTGTCCACCACGACCAAGATAGCATCCCAGCCTTCGGAATGGGGCAGCCCCTCAATAAAATCCATGGTAACCTCATCCCAAACTTGTGCCGGAATCGGAATCGACTGAAGTAACCCTGCGGGAGTAGTGGCCAAGTACTTATTCTGCTGACAAACTGTGCATTCCCGAACAAATTTGGCTACATCTTTGCGCATGCCTACCCAATACAACTCAGCTACCAAGCGTTGATAGGTCTTCGTTTCCCCCAAATGCCCTCCAACAGGGGTGGTGTGAAACTCCCCAATGAGAGTATAAATCAGTTGGGAGGTGCGGGGCACGACCAGATCGTTCTTATAAAACAAAATACCTTGCTCCACTGTAAATCCGACATATGAGTTTTCCCCCGAAGTAATGTCATTCCTGATACTAGTCAGAAAAGCATCATTTGCCAATTCAGCTTTCAAGGATTCCCAATACTACCATTGTGGTACAGTCAATGTTGTACATTCAGCTGGAGTAGCTAACCGAGACAGAGCATATGCTACGATGTTGCTTGCTCCACTTCGGTACTGAATTTCAAAGTCATATCCCATGAGCTTGGTAATCCATTTCTGGTATTCAGCCCCAATAATTCGTTGTTCCAACAGAAATTTCAAACTTTGTTGATCTGTCCGCACAATGAAACGCCTCCCGAGAAGGTAAGGTCTCCACTTCATCACTGCAAACACTATTGCCATTAACTCCTTCTCAAATATAGACTTAAGACGCGTTCGGGGACCAAGAACTTGGCTGTAATAAGCCACTGGTTGCAGCCCTTGGATGAGAACAGCTCCCAACCCAAACCCTAAAGCATCTGTCTTGATGACAAATGGTTTGGTGAAGTCTGGCATTGCTAACACTGGGACTGAAGACATAGTTCTTTTAAGCTCTTCAAAGGCTGATGCAGCTTCCGAATTTCACCCAAACTTGTCTTTTTTAAGCTGATATGTCAGAGGCCACACAATTTGAGCATATCCCGCCACAAACTTTCGGTAATACCCAGTTAGACCCAAAAATCCTCTCAACGCCTTTAGATTAATGGGTGTTGGCCAAGACTTCATGGCCTGGATTTTGCTTGGATCAGCCACGACTCCTTCCCCGGAAATCATATGGCCCAAATAGGCTACTTGAGCCCTGCCAAACTTGCATTTCTTCCTATTGGCATAAAGACCATGGGCCCGCAAGGTTTTAGCACTTGAGCCAAATGTTGCTGATGTGTCTCCTCTGAAGGACTGTAAATCAAGATGTCATCAAAGAATACTAGAACAAACTTTCGAAGATAGGGTCGAAAGACATCGTTCATACTAGAAATTTTTTTTGTACCATGTAACTCATCGAGCAATTCGTCAATTACAGGAATAGGGTACTTATCAGCATCCACACAAAATCGCCATGATCCATCTTTCTTTTTAACCAACAAAACTGGACTCGAGAAAGGACTGCTGCTGACTTGAATAATTCCAGCATCAATCATTTCCTTAATCAACCTCTCAATCTCATTCTTCTATATGTGAGGATAGCGATAGGGCCGGACACTAACTGGTTGGCTGCCTTCTTTGAGCACAATGAAGTGTTCATGTCCCCTGATGGGCGGTAATCCCGGTGGCAGGTCAAACACACTATCATAATCTGCCAACACGTGGCGAATAAATGTTGGAGCCTCAGAATTCATTTTCCTCAATCCTTCCAGTTGATTAAGCTCTACCAAAATTCCAGCTCCCTCATACTTAATGGTTCGCATCATAGCTTTTAATGAGACCAGAGTTTTTCCAAAAGCCAGATCCCCACGCAGCGTGATAGAATCATTCCCAAGCCTAAATTTCATCACCTGCATCTTCTAGTTGGTGTGTGTCATCCCCAAAGTCTCGAGCCACTGGATTCCCAAAATAACATCCGAACTTCCTAACCCAAGAGGCAAGAATTCCTCCACAATATCGAGCCCCTGCAGGTAAAGAGCTACTCCCCTACACAGGCCTTCCCCGCGTACAGCCGTACCCATACCCATAGTCACCCCATATACCTCAGTTTTGGCCACTGGCAGCTGCATTTTTTTGACCAAGTCTAAGGAGATGAAATTATAGGTTGCACCTGGGTCGATTAAAACCACAACTTCTTGCTTGCCAATCAGCCACTTAAGTTTCATTGTTTTTGGAGTGGTTAGACCCACAACAGAATTGAGTGAAACCTCCACCACCTGGTTAAGCTCAGCCGCCTCGAGTTCGGCCTCCACTGCCTCTGTTTCCTCAGCTTCGCACGGGTCTCCTTTGAGGTCATGGGTCACCAGAACGCCCAATTCCTTCCTCTTGCACGCGTGCCCAGGTGCTTACTTCTCATCACATTTATAGCAAACACCTCTCTCACGCTTTCGCTGCAATTTCGAGTCCGACAATCTGTGAACTTCCCCCAAAATCTCGCCGTCGCCTGCTTTCCCCCGTAATTGAACTTGGAAGCTTCGCGATAGGAGCCTCTGTCACGTAATGGCCCTCCTGTCTTTTGAAACCCATTAGTAGATTTATGGGTTTTGATTACCCACAGTTGCTTCTCTATTTTCTGGGCCAAGTCCATAGCCCGACCCAAGTTTCTAGGCTCTAGAATTCGGACCTCCACCTTAATTTTCGGTTTCAGCCCATTAATAAAATTGCCCAGAGCTAACTCATTAGAAATGTTGTCCAAAGGTGCTGACAACTCAATAAACTTCGGCGATATTCCTGCACACTGCCTTCTTGAACCAGTGCCAGCCACTGTTCATGGAGGGACCCAGCCTGCGTTGCCCAGAACTGCTTCAATAGGAGGATCTTCATTTCCTCCCACAACACTGTGGTTCGCTTCTTATTTTCCCATTGATAGCACAATAGCGCATCCCCTTCAAATGCCACGATCCCCGCTTCAATTTTCTCCTCATTCGTCAATCGATTCAGGGTGAAGTATCGTTCTGCTCTGAAAATCCACCCATCTGGGTTTGAACCATCAAATTGTGGAATCTCCAGCCTTCGAAATTGGTAATCATGTCGAATTCCGGTTAAACCCGAACCTCCTTCTACTACCTGAGGCTCCCCCACGAATGGGATGTCCACTTTCTCCCCTTTATACGCAGTGATTCGCCAGAGCCTTCTCCTCCTGCAACTTGAGGAATTGTTCAAACCTTCTCTTCATATTTTGTATCTCCTCTTTTAGTGTACCCACTTTTTTTTTGAACTTTCCTTGCACGGCACCAACCATTTCCTCAACAGAATCCATTCGCTGAGCAACATTTTTGGCTGCCATCTCCTAGGTACGACTGCTCTGATACCAATTTGTTATGCACAGACTCAAGAAGCAACAATTTATACCACACCGGAAGGACAGATAAATGGATAAGGAAATTATATTGAATGACTGGAATTAATTGAAAACACCCAAGCATTCGAGAGACCTGGAAACTCTCCAAATTGAGCGAGCTCAACACTGAACAATACTATTTTCATCCCTGCCAACACAGACTCCCTATTCTTTATATTCTCATCCCTCCTACTACGCCATAACAGAAAACCCGTATTCCCCTCCCCCTCCCCAACCCCAACCCCAAACAGAATACCAAACTAACAGAAATTTCATAATAGACCCCTCACTTATCTCTAGTCATTCATTCCCAAAATTCCCAGAAGTGTCCCTGCGCCTTGAAAAAGTGAAACGCACCGGTGGCCTAACAATCTACTTGCCAGCCAGAAAATTAACCTTGCATGAATTTTAGTTCAAAACAAGTTTGATCCTCACTTCAGCTTGAATTTGGTTGCCCTCTACTCCAACAATATCCCAGTTTTGAAGCTTTAGAATAATTAGCATGTATTCCTCTGTACCCAATGATCTTTGTAGTCTATACATTAGATTAATGACCATATATGTGTCCTTTCTAAGATCTTATCTTCTGAGTTTTTTTTTTTTTTTGAACTATATAAGGTGATGTGTTATTGTGGAAAATCTAGAACGAACTGCTCATCAAAATTAGGGGATAATGTAATTATGTATGTCAATTGATCGACACGCTTTGCAGGAGTTGAAAATTTCCCAATGCTGATAAGCCCGAAATAACAGTTTTAAATGCAATGGTCACTAAATCCTAGTGCACTTTGTCATGTATCCTTTCCATTATTTACAATATTCCATAACCATTTGACTTGAGCAAATATGTGAAAAAAGAGAATTACTAGCTCGAGTTATTATGTCTTAAGTTGACTCATTTGTATGGGGTTTTTAATTGCTGAGATTTCTTTTATTTTGTTACTAAACATCAAAATGATGGTGTAATTTCTTTAACACGAGGGAAACAAGAGATGGTTTGAGGTTGATGCATCTCCTGCATTGCCAATTCTCTTACACTATAAATGAGTTTTTTTCCCACATCTTGCTGTGCAAGATGGGTTTATTGAGATGGAAAAGTTGATGGAAGGTAGGAATGAGATTGGCTGGAGACCAAGGGACAGATAGAGGTATACAAGTTAGCTTCCTCTACCAAATGGATACTCTTTTAAATCCTCATATATTCACGTCTCACCATAAGTTGTATGAAGTATAGTTATGTGCCAACGGTTAGATCTAGGTGTGGCACGGTTAGAATTTTGTGAGCTTCACACAGATTTACTTAGGGCACAACTGTTCTGTTTCTGGAATTGTTATTCATAAACTAGCTCATGGTACATGTGAGGTACACTCCATCTTTTCTTTAGTAGGTGTGTGACAAGTATGCATAGCT